TTACGAACGTGATGAGTATAACGAAATTGAGTACATTACCGAACTCTGTCATGAAAGCTACCAGTAGGGGTGTGCATAGAGCGGTTCGGTTCGGTTATTGTCAAAAATCAAACCAAATCAGTTTTAAACGTTTAGATTTTAAACCGAACCACTTTTTTTTTAGAAAAACCGGTTTTTAATTTGTCCAAACCGGTTTGTGGTTTATAACCGATTTTTACATCTTCATTAGACAGCCATGTGCATAGCACCTTCTAATAATCACTTATGATATTAATTATTATTTATATGATAGAAAGAATTCTGAAACGTATGACCAAGATTTTATGTATAAACGCATGCCGGCAATCCCGCTAATCTCTTTGTTAGGATTATAACATATAGTAACCCTGATCTCGCTATCCTACTATTAGATTGAAAAATAATTTTCATGTACTTGTAATTTAGTAATCTTTTATTTTTGAAATAAAGCAATGAAAAAATCATTATTTTTATTAGTATATTAGTATATTACCCATTAAATAATTTTAATTATTTGTGACCCAATTTTATTAATAAATATATTAATTTCTAAAAAAATGTAATCGATTTTTTTTTTGGTAAACAAACGATTTTTTTATCTTTATCAAATATGAAATATATTTCATTTTTATTTAACATTTTTTAATAGATATAAAAAAAATCTTATCTAATATATATAGTTATAGAGATTAATATTTATCATGTTATAGGAGATAATTTAAACACATATAAAAGTGTATGTGATTCGTATTTTTTTTCTCTTTTATCTTTACATGAGAAATTATAACCATCATATTAAAAAAATTAATTAATTACTAAATATGATCCGTATAACCGTCATGATAATTTAAACACATATAAAAATGTTTGTGATCTGTATTATTAAAAATTAATTAATATATATTATATAATAAATTATAACTGTCATATTAATAAAAATTAACAATAAAAATGTAATAATAAAAAATAATAATTTTGGTAAATAAATTTCTCCCCTATTTATATTCGGCTTTTCGACCCCTTTATCCTTCATTAATTAATTAATAATCATGTTGCCATTTATCCAAAACTATCTATCAATCTGCCCCTCTTTAATCGATAACTTGAAGATTTAATTGATTAAATGGTCAAAAATGGCAAAAATGGTTGACTGGAAGATTTAATCGATTAAATATCCCCCTTAATCGATTAAATATCCCTCTTAATTGATTTAATCAATTAAATCTTATATTTAATCGATTAAATATCCCAAATGAACGTGAAAGCATTGATTGAATGAGACAAACACGGTTTTGGAGGTTATTTGAATTTTGAAATTTGAATTTTAAATTTAATGAAATAGGAGTTGATTGCAATTTGTATTTAATAGGAGCTGATTGTGTTTTGTATTTAATAGGAGCTAATTGCGTTTTGTATTTAATAAGAGTTGATTGTATTTTGTATTTAATAGGAGTTGACAATCTGTAACAAACTCGTAAAATGGCAACTCCTAATAAAACGCAATCAGCTCCTATTAAATACAAATCGCAATCAACTCCTATTAAATACAAATCGCAATCAACTCCTATTATATCTTGAAGATTTGATCGATTAAGAGGGATATTTAATCGATTAAATCTTCAAGTTAATCGATTAAAGAGGGGCAGATTGATAGATAATTTTGAATAATGAATAAAATAATTATTAATTAATAAAGGGTAAAAGGGTCAAAAAGTCCTTTATATTGCCTGCATTAATGTTTGTTGGATTTCCAAAGAGACAAAAAGCAAGAAGCAGGAAGAAAAAACAAGGCTACAAAAACAGGTTAAGTCAACCTTTTATTCCTTCAAATTATGTTTACTGATGCATTTGTATTTCAAAAAAAAAATATTACATAGCTAATATATACAAAAGATATTATTTGCATAATAATCATGAAACTGATTTTAAAATTTTCAAAAAATCAAAAAAAAATTGGATTGAATCGGATCAGATTTAAAAAAAAATTAAACCGAATGGATGATTACAAAGTATTGGATCGGATAATTTTTATTTCCAATACTATCGATCCAATCCGGACTGAGAACCCTCTATAAAAAGGCTACAAAAATTATAAACTCCATTAACAAAGTGACCAAATTTCCTCGTTTCACCCTTCGCTCTTGCTTCCACCATCAAAATCCAAATCATCAAGACTTGTAAAAAGGTTTCTGAAATCTCAGCTATTGAGTGCGCAATCACTAGGATCTGCCTTAAGCCAAGTAGGTTCTTTTTCTTCTGTTTTGTTTGCATTTCATTATGGGGTTGTTGTTCTTTTTATCCACCCCATTATGAGTAGACATGTATGATTATAAGACCCACAATTTATTTTGTTTTTAAGGCAAATTTTTGTAAAAAAAATTGTCTGTTCCGTCTCGATCCGTATAACAAATATGAGAGTTTGAATATTATATTGCAATCAATTGTTACATGCTATGCCTATATCGATTGTCATGTTTTTAAAGAATTTGCGAATTGATTTAAATTGAAATTTGCATCTCAATTTGTTTTATATCTCAATTTGTTTTCCATCTCGATTGTCGTGAATTGCTTCATATATGTTGCAGTGTTTGTTACAATTCACATCTTGATTGGTTTTGGTAAGTCAATCAGCATATATTGACTTGAGTTGTCTTATCTCAGATAGTCATGATTTACAAATTGTTTGATTATATATTGTTTTATCGAAAGTCGCAAACCTCTTTATATATATTTAAAAAAACAAAAAACAAAAAACAAATAAGGATTTACAAATCTTATCATAGTGTCGTGATTTTGATTTACGTGAATATATATTTCATAACTGAAGGTGAGCACAACTTGTTAATTTGATCTGAGTTTTTATTTATTTATTTTTTTTTTTTAAAAAGAATGGAATTTGGTTGGGGGTTTATGTGCTACCCATAGTAGGATATCTCAAACTTTGATATATTTGTTATCCTTAAGTTTGTTACACTTGAATTGGATATAAGTTTGTTGAATTTGTTACACGTGTCAGACTTCTATTTGTTACAATATGTTATGGTTATATTTTCTATAGCAAGTTTAGGAGATAATTCTTGGAGGCCCTATAGCGTGTGAAATCATGCTCCATTTTCGTGATATTATATACGGTATGCTCTGTGCACACCTATAAATAATACCTTGTCACATTAAAGTAAGGTGAATTGCTTTTATTTCACTGTTGATTCACATCTCGATTTTCATGAATTTGTTCAACCTTTTGTGACACTAACTATGGTTTGCAATTTTTCACTTGATTGTCAGAGTTAAAGTTGTTAACTTTATGGATAGTTGTGCCGTCATGTCCATGTATCCTACTCTACGGAACATGCTTGAGATCCTTGCAATTTAAGGCTGCTATGGCTTTTCTGATATGTTGATCCGTGCTTCATAAAAAAAGAGTTTGATTTGGGAGACCCATTTGATTGTTAGACTCTAGATTTGGTCCTTAATGTGAATTGTAGTTTTTCTATCCCCTTGAAATTCCCACTCAGGGTCAGTTTGGTATGGGAGTAAAAATGGGGGTGAAAAGTCTTTGGATGAGTTTTCAATACAATTTTAGTAATAAAACAAATCATTGAATTTTTCATCTTCATTTTTAACCCCATTCCAAACTGATCAGAGGTAATGTTTTCTGTAAGATAATTCCTTCAAACTGTAATATGAGTCCGAGGGAAATTCTTGTTAAGACAACATAAGGATAATTCTGGGGTTTTGTGGAAGTCCATGTAAATTTGGTATTATGAGTGATGACTTTGTTTATTATAAGGCCAATGATGGTGAGTGAGTCCTTCTTAAGTTGATTTTCTTGGCATTGATGTAGGGTTCACTTCTAGAAGTGTAAGCAGGGGTGGCCATGACATCATCTCAAATAGCAGTAACTCATCAGCCTCCATATCTGTCACTTCTAGAAGTGAGGGTGAGATCTTGCAATCTTCCAATTTAAAAAGCTTCAGCTACAGTGAACTAAGAGGAGCCACAAGAAATTTCTGCCCAGATAGTGTCTTAGGGGAGGGTGGATTTGGTTATGTTTTTAAGGGCTGGATTGATGAGCATTCACTTGCCGCTACCAAACCAGGAATCGACATGATTGTTGCTGTAAAGAGGCTTAACCAAGAGGTCTTCCAGGGTCACAAAGAATGGTTGGTCAGTATCAATTCTTCTCTGGATACTCCTTCAGTTTCCTCTCTGATGCATATTATTCTGGCTTCAAACTTTATTTCATTGTATATTAACAAAATTCTAGGCAACTACTAGCTTTTTTTGGATACTCTTTCATTTTCCCGGTATGATCCCGTTTGGGGGATTCTCTGTGGAACTGTATGTTTGTTCTCATTTGATCTTATTGGCATTGTTGGCCAATTCCTGTAACTTCAATAGCTCACTTTGGAAGGACTTGACTATGACACTGAAGTTCAATCATTTTCTAAAACTGATTGATGTTCTTCTTGTATTGTATTGTTTGACTCACAGGCTGAAATCAACTATCTTGGGCAACTGCATCATTCTAATCTTGTCAAGTTAATAGGATACTTCTTCGAGGATGAGCATCGGCTTCTGGTTTATGAATTTATGCCTAAGGGCAGCATGGAGAATCATCTGTTCAGAAGTTACTACCTTCTATTTTAGTCGAATAATTCTTTGTTCCTTTTTGTTCCCATTAAAAGAGTTTTTTTTTTTTTTTTGTAATAATTTAAAGTTCAATTGTAAGTTCTAATACTAATGTTTCCTGAAATCATCATTAATACAGGAGGTTCTTATTATCAGCCATTCTCTTGGAGTTTACGATTGAAAATAGCCCTTGAGGCTGCAAGGTGTCTTGCTTTTCTCCATAGTACAGAACCTAAAGTCATATACTGTGACTTTAAAACTTCAAATATCCTACTTGATATTGTATGTACATAATTTCAACTTGAGCATGCTCAAATATTCAACCATAACAGGACATGCTCAAGTTGCAATTATGTACATATAGTATCAAGTAGGATATTTGAAGTTTTAAAGTCACGGTATATGACTTTAGGTTCTGTACTATGGAGAAAAGCAAGACACCTTGCAGCCTCAAGGGCTATTTTCAATCGTAAACTCCAAGAGAATGGCTGATAATAAGAACCTCCTGTATTAATGATGATTTCAGGAAACTTTAGTATTAGAACTTACAATTGAACTTTAAATTATTACAAAAAATAATAAAAAAAAACTCTTTTAATGGGAACAAAAAGGAACAAAGAATTATTCGACTAAAATAGAAGGTAGTAACTTCTGAACAGATGATTCTCCATGCTGCCCTTAGGCATAAATTCATAAACCAGAAGTCGATGCTCATCCTCGAAGCAGTATCCTATTAACTTGACAAGATTAGAATGATGCAGTTGCCCAAGATAGTTGATTTCAGCCTGTGAGTCAAACAATACAAAACAAGAAGAACATCAATCAGTTTTAGAAAATGATTGAACTTCAGTGTCATAGTCAAGTCCTTCCAAAGTGAGCTATTGAAGTTACAGGAATTGGCCAACAATGCCAATAAGATCAAATGAGAACAAACATACAGTTCCACAGAGAATCCCCCAAACGGGATCATACCGGGAAAATGAAAGAGTATCCAAAAAAAGCTAGTAGTTGCCTAGAATTTTGTTAATATACAATGAAATAAAGTTTGAAGCCAGAATAATATGCATCAGAGAGGAAACTGAAGGAGTATCCAGAGAAGAATTGATACTGACCAACCATTCTTTGTGACCCTGGAAGCCCTCTTGTTTAAGCCTCTTTACAGCAACAATCATGTCGATTCCTGGTTTGGTAGCGGCAAGTGAATGCTCATCAATCCAGCCCTTAAAAACATAACCAAATCCACCCTCCCCTAAGACACTATCTGGGCAGAAATTTCTTGTGGCTCCTCTTAGTTCACTGTAGCTGAAGCTTTTTAAATTGGAAGATTGCAAGATCTCACCCTCACTTCTAGAAGTGACAGATATGGAGGCTGATGAGTTACTGCTATTTGAGCTGATGTCATGGCCACTCCTGCTTACACTTCTAGAAGTGAACCCTACATCAATGCCAAGAAAATCAACTTAAGAAGGACTCACTCACCATCATTGGCCTTATAATAAACAAAGTCATCACTCATAATACCAAATTTACATGGACTTCCACAAAACCCCAGAATTATCCTTATGTTGTCTTAACAAGAATTTCCCTCGGACTCAGATTACAGTTTGAAGGAATTATCTTACAGAAAACATTACCTCTGATCAGTTTGGAATGGGGTTAAAAATGAAGGTGAAAAATTCAATGATTTGTTTTATTACTAAAATTGTATTGAAAACTCATCCAAAGACTTTTCACCCCCATTTTTACTCTCATACCAAACTGACCCTGAGTGGGAATTTCAAGGGGATAGAAAAACTACAATTCACATTAAGGACCAAATCTAGAGTCTAACAATCCAATGGGTCTCCCAAATCAAACTCTTTTTTTATGAAGCACGGATCAACATATCAGAAAAGCTATAGCAGCCTTAAATTGCAAGGATCCCAAGCATGTTCCGTAGAGTAGGATACATGGACATGACATCACAACTATCCATAAAGTTAACAACTTTAACTCTGACAATCAATCCCATATTGATAAAACCAAAATCTGGAGAATAATTAGCTCATTCACATATTGACAGAAAACAAAAAAAAATGAAGATGCAAGTCAAAAAGAAGAAGGTGACCTGTAATGGAAGGACTCACAGCCGTAATCCGATTGCTAAAGCAAGCACCCATCAACAAAATCACCCCTATAAACGAAGATTTCAAAGGTTAAGAAACATGAAACACTTCACACCATGTGTTTCCAGAAATTATATTGCCTTTGTCAATCCAACAAATTTTGTCACAACAAATCATACAAGAATTCTTATTATATTTGTATGATGAATTACAACTAATGTCACACCATTTCTGTGATCCAAAGACTCTCAATATATAATTGAAATAATTAAGGGTGTTAAGGCTAATCCCTGATTAAATGAAATTATATGGATCGCTTGACATTAATTTCCAAACCCGAATTATTGCTTCAAACCATAAGCAATAATACCAAAATATTCAAATTATTCATCTCAATATTGTATGTATAATGAAACTTTAATTAATACATACAATCAAATCATTATAATACATGACATAAAAACATGCCTAATTTAATTCACACGGTGCATAAATATTAACCTTCAGTCATGTGTTCAGAATTTGTTATACCCATTTAATTTCCTTTTGCCACATGCAATTAATGCCAAATTATACAGTAGTTTTACTCCCTTTTATTCAATAAAATGATCCAATGGCACCACCAAAACAGAGTAAATATTAATTTTTATATGTTAAGCTACAATCAAAAATCTCAATGCAAAATATGCTTAATTGCATTTATTCTATTGTCAATCACAAGTCACAATGTAATAGACTGCAATCAATGAGACTAAAAATATGGCAACAATGTTTTTGCACTGCCAAAAACCAATGACGGTGAACCAGTCATAAATGTCCCAATTTAAATAAAACATTGAAGAACCATGTAGCCAAATGAAATATGAAACCAATCTCACTATATTCAAAATGTGAAAACCCACTAAAATATCCCAAAAGGGACCAAGTTTATTAATTATGAGACATACTCATGTGAACTTATTTCACAAAACTATGCAAAAGTCCAAACGATTTTCACTAAAATAAAAATCAAATGTTCAATAATTTACATGCCCAAATTTATAGTCCAATAAACAAAACTAATGTCAACACCAAATCTGAATCAAAATTCAGTTTACAAAATTCCAAATAAGAGAAATTAAAACATAGACCAGTAATATTCCACCAAAGTGAAATAATTCAAAAGTCAAAAATTGCATAGTTCCCATAAAAACCAAAAGGATGAATTCATGTTAACTAATTAAATATTGGAACAACAATCGTATCAGTTTTAGGAATTTCAAAACTTATACAGAACATGAATAGTATTAAGTTAAATTCTAAAATGTAGGGGCCCAATCAAAAGTTTCAACCTATATGGATATGCAAATGTGAGACCCAAACTAATAAAAATAATAATCCATTTATTTCACAACACCAAGTGTTTCACTAAAAGTCAAATGTGAAACAGTAACTGAAAGTCTGAATGAATTTCAAGAATCACTATATATTAATATGCAAATCTGAATATACCACAATTCACGCTAACAATCCAAAATATTTCAAAAATAGAAATTAGTCAAAACAAACTTATAAATTGTGCCAGTAACACCACTGGTTTTCGAAAATAATAACAATTAACTTTGTGCATCAGAAAAGCATATGTATATATTGCATGTCACTTAAACCTTCTATATATATATCTTATTAATTGCCAAGAAAAAATTCAAATAACATACTAGCTTTTACAAAGCTTAAACTTCAGTTGAAACGCATAGTAAAGATGTTGAAGGTGCACTATATGAAAACTAACTAATAAGGCCAATAATTTAAAGGCCCAATCATAAGTTTAATAAAAATCAGCAATATCAATAATTTCATAAAGAATTCAATAACATAATATTATGATAATTCCAAATGTGAATTTATTTATCAGCAAAGCACCTTTCACATTAACTGAGATGTCTCGTATGACACACTAATTTCAAAAGCGAACTCAATTAACTAGTTTCACACAAGAAAACAAATATTTCACTAATAGCCAAATGCAAAACAGTAATTGAAAATCTTATTGGATTTCAAATTTGAATGCTAACAAAATTAATATCTAAGTTATCGGTGAAAATAAAACAAATGCCAATAGCTAACAGTGTCACGCAAATGTAAATTCCAATTACTATAACTAATAGTAAATGGCCATTAAACATGAAAAACTTGATGTGACATTGAAGGCACGTTTCACGAAATAATATAGCCACTAAATAAAATTCAAGTTAACTAATCACAACAATCTAAACTGTCAGAACAATCTAAAACCATGGAACAATAAATGATAAGGCCACAGATCATTTCACGAAAAACACGATAAAATGACATTAAGTAAAAATGAAACAATTCACTAGTTCCATGAACAGTACCCTTAAAACCAAAATTCATGTAAGTTTCATTTAAACCAAAACTTCACGGATCACGAAAAGTTCAACAATGCAAAGTTTCATTAAAACCAAAGATGTGAAATACTGAAATTGATTTTGTCAGAATGTGAAAATTGCAAACCATAGTTAGTGTCACAAAAGGTTGAACAAATTCATGAAAATCGAGATGTGAATCAACCGTGAAATATAAGCAATTCATCTTACTTTAATGTGACAAGGTATTATTTATAGGTGTGCACAGAGTATACCGTATATAATATCACGAAAATGGAGCATGATTTCACACGCTATAGGGCCTCCAAGAATTATCTCCTAAACTTGCTATAGAAAATATAACCATAATATATTGTAACAAATAGAAGTCTGACATGTGTAACAAATTCGACAAACTTATATCCAATTCAAGTGTAACAAACTGAAGGATAACAAATATATCAAAGTTTGAGATATCCTACTATAGGGTAGCACATAAACCCCCAACCAAATTCCATTTTTTTTAAAAATAAATAAATAAAAACTCAGATCAGATTAACAAGCTGTGCTCACCTTCAGTTATGAAATATATATTCACGTAAATCAAAATCACGACACTATGATAAAATTTGTAAATCCTTATTTGTTTTTTTTTTTTGTTTTTTAAAAAAAAAAAATATATATATATATAAAGAGGTTTGCGACTTTCGATAAAACAATATATAATCAAACAATTTGTAAATCATGACTATCTGAGATAAGACAACTCAAGTCAATATATGCTGATTGACTTACCAAACCCAATCAAGATGTGAATTGTAACAAACACTCCAACATATATGAAGCAATTCACGACAATCGAGATGGAAAACAAATTGAGATATAAAACAAATCGAGATGCAAATTTCAATTTAAATCAAATCGCAAATTCAATTTAAAAACATGACAATCGATATAGGCATAGCATGTAACAATTGATTGCAATATAATATTCAAACTCTCATATTTGTGATACGGATCGAGACGGAACGGACAATTGTTTTTACAAAAATTTGCCTTAAAAACAAAATAAATTGTGAGTCTTATAATCATACATGTCTACTTATAATGGGGTGGATAAAAAGAGCAACAACCCCATAATGAAATGCAAACAAAACAAAAGAAAAAGAACCTACTTGGCTTAAGGCAGATCCTAGTGATTGCGCACTCAATAGCTGAGATTTCAGAAACCTTTTTACAAGTCTTGATGATTTGGATTTTGATTGTGGAAGCAAGAGCGAAAGGTTAAACGAGGAAATTCGGTCACTTTGTTAATGGAGTTTATAATTTTTGTAGCCTTTTTATAGAGGGTTCTCAGTCCGGATTGGATCGATAGTTTTGAAAATAAAAATTATCCGATCCAATACTTTGTAATCATCCATTCGGTTTAATTTTTTTTTTAAATCTGATCCGATTCAATCCAATTTTTTTTTGATTTTTTGAAAATTTTAAAATCAATTTCATGATTATTATGCAAATAATATCTTTTATATATATTGCCTATGTAATTTTACTTTTTTGAAATACAAATGCATCACTAAACATAATTTGAGGGAATAAAAGGTTGACTTAACTTTTTTTTTAGCCTTATTTTTTTTTCCTGCTTCTTGCTTTTTGTCTCTTTGGAAACCCAACAAACATTAATGCAGGGAATATAAATGACTTTTTGACCCTTTTACCTTTTATTAATTAATAATAATTTTATCCATTATTCAAAATTATCTATCAATCTGCCCCTCTTTAATCGATTAACTTGAAGATTTAATCGATTAAATTGTCAAAACTGGCAAAAATGGTTGACTTGAAGATTTAATCGATTAAATATTCCTCTTAATCGATCAAATCTTCAAGATGTAATAGGAGTTGATTGCGATTTGTATTTAATAGGAGTTGATTGCGATTTGTATTTAATAAGAGATTGTTTTATTAGATTGCCATTTTACGATTTGTTACAAATTGTCAACTCCTATTAAATACAAAATACAATCAACTCTTATTAAATACAAAACGCAATCAGTTATTATACTAAACACAATGCTATTTTACAAAACACAATTTGTTAAAAACAAATTGCAATCAGCTCCTATTTCATTAAATTCAAATTTTAAAATTCAAATAACCTCCAAAACCGTGTTTGTCTCATTCAATCAATGCTTTCACGTTCATTTGAAATATTTAATCGATTAAATATAAGATTAAATACTAAACACAATCAGCTCCTATTAAATACAAAACACAATCAGCTCCTATTAAAAACAAATTGCAATCAGCTCCTATTTCATTAAATTCAAATTTTAAAATTCAAATAACCTCCAAAACCGTGTTTGTCTCATTCAATCAATGCTTTCACGTTCATTTGAAATATTTAATCGATTAAATATAAGATTTAATCGATTAAATCAATTAAGAAGGATATTTAATCGATTAAGAGAGATATTTAATCGATTAAATCTTCCAGTCAACTATTTTTGCCAGTTTTGACCATTTAATTGATTAAATCTTCAAGTTAATCGATTAAAGAGGGGATAGATAGTTTTGGATAAATGGCAACATGATTATTAATTAATTAATGAAGGGCAAAGGGGTCAAAAAGTCGAATATAAATAGGGGAGAAATTTGTTTACCAAAGTTATTATTTTTTATTATTAAATTTTAATTGTTAATTTTA